GTTTAACATAACAGCAAATGTACAACGTTTCTACAAGGTTTTGTCATCATCAGTACTAGAACAAATGTCCTGTAGTGAAACAGAATTTACTAGAAGAAAACTGTTGTGGTGAGCTCTAATGTAGTAGTAAAAACCTGTTCTAGTGAAACAGAACGTGCAAGTTGAAACCTGCAGTAATGAACTAGAATGCACTAGTAGAAACAAGCTGTAATGAAAAAGTAATTTACTAGTAAAAGCTTGCTATAACGAATCAGAACGTACCAGTAAAAAGCTGCTGTAGTGAGCAGTAGTGTACTAGTAAAAACTTGCTGTAATAAACCAAAAAATACCAGTTGAAACCTGCTGTATTCAACCAAAAGGTACTAGTAGCAACCTAGTGTACTGAACCAATAGATATTGGTAAAAACAGGCTGTAGTGAACACTAATGTACTGGTAAAAACCTGCTGTAGTGAACCAGAACATACCAGTACAAATCTGCTGTGCATAACCGCAATATATACTAGTAGAACCCTGCTGTAGTGAACCAGATCATACGAGTTTAAACCTGTTGTAGTGAACAATAATGCACTAGTAAAAACCTGGTGTAACGAACAGTAATGTAGTAGTAAAAACTTTCTGTACTGAACCAAAACGTACTAGTAAAAACCTGCTGTAGTGAACATTAATGTGCTAGTAAAATACTGCTGTATTGAACCTGAACCAGAATTTTCTACTAGAAACGAGCTGTAGTGAATCAGAGCATAAAAATAGGAACTTGCTGTACTTAACCAGAATATACTAGTAGAAACTGAACGAGAATATACTAACGGAAACCTGTTGTGCTAAATCCAAAAGTACTTGTCGAAATGTGTTGTGACAAATCAGAACATAATAGAAGAAATATTTTGTAGTGGTAGTGAGCTACAACATACTAGTAGAAAGCTGAAGCATTGAACCGGAAACTACCGTATTTTTCGGTGTATAAGACGAACTTTTTTACCCCAAAATTTAATGTCAAAATCTGCTTGCGTCCTATACACCGAAGGTATGAATAATATATATGTATATATACGATATACACAAGCAATGTGTAAATATATTTAAATAGGCATGCATAGTTTAGTTCAATTGAATGTGTTATTTGTAACAATAGTGTTTTTTCTTTTAAAAACATAACTATTTGTAATGCTCCCTAAATAAAAAAATAAAATAAATTACAGTGAAAGCAATGAAGATTTTGTAGGTTTTGCCCCGTAAATCAAAAAAGGTTTACTGTTATTTAGTTTGGTTTATTTTCTTATTTTGATGTTTTGAGCTCTGGACATTTTTAATAACTTTCGTGAAGAATTCTAAATGTCAATATTATGTGTAACCATATATAATCAATATATAACCATGTATAATCTTATATATATAGGAATGTGTTTGACATGTATATATGTAACCCCAGCTATATATATGCGAATGTATTGAATATGTTAATCATGTAAGCATAGCTGATAAAGAGAGATGGAGAGAATGAGTTGGACCAAGAAAGAGGACGTTGTCCTCGTTTCTTTAGCACTGTAGAAGCTACAGAAAAGTTTATATTTTATGAATCATCCCGGTGCTTTGATGCAATATCAGTTACAGTACATGGGTGTAGCAGTACAAGTAAGTAGGCAACCAGCTAACAGCAGTTAACCATGACCAATAGCCTGAGGGTTTTGGCTTGGTGCCTGGATTAGCCCAGGAATTGCCTGCAAGCATCCAATAGGAGCACCGCACTACTTGTGGGTGATGCTGTGTCCTATTTGGATACTCGCAAGGATACAGAGAAAGTTTGCTACATAAACCCATGTCAGGAGCTGAAGAATCAGAATTCCAGGAGTTCTGAAGAAGCTCTCCAGACAGGAATCCAGATAGAATCCAGCAGCTCTAGCCATGCAGTTGAGATCCAGTAACATAGCCACTGCCTCTAATGTTCCAACTCTACAGTAAGTATCTCTCTCTCTCTCTCTAGATCAGCTTTTGCATAAAGTATTGAAGAAGTGGTATTAGTGTTTAAGAAGTTGAGTATTAAATGTTATGTCAAGACTAAAAAAAACTGTTGTTAAAGATTAATAAAAGTTATTTGTGAATATTATTGCTGGTCTGAGACTCATATTCTTTAATCTAACTGTAAACTCCTGGAGTTAGCGACTTGTGGCTCCACTCGTCACGACAAATCCTCAAACAAATAAATTTGGTGTACAGGTTGGTTTTAATTGAAACTCCAACAATTAAGCTCACCTGAGTGCTAACCTGTTACATAACCATAAAGTGCGTATTGTGGCAATTTCGATAGAAAAATTATCACAGATTGTATTGCAATTACAAAGAACAGAAGAAATAATTCGTTTTGTCAAATTGTGTTCCAAAGTAACTGAATTAACCTGTGTGTGCTTTGACGAAAAAGAGACAATTACTTAAACTTTGGATACAACTGTGTTTGTTTTTGAATTTCGCTCAAAGCTACACGAGGGCTATCTACGCTAGCCGTCCCTAATTTAGCAGTGTAAGTCTAGAGGGAAGGCAGCTAGTCATCACCATCCACCGCCAATTCTTGGGCTACTCTTTTACCAACGAATAGTGAGATTGACCGTCACTTTATTATGCCCCACGACTGAAAAGGGCGAGCATGTTTGGTGGGATGGGGATTCGAACCCGCAGATTGCGAGTCGAGCTCCCTAACCATCTGGCCATGCGGGCCGACGTAGAATCTACTGTATCTCAATAAATTCAGCTTCTGTGTCTTCAGCATGGACACCTGCATCGTTAAAATTTCTACAATCCTCTTTTCAACAAGTATGATGCTAATCTGTTGCCGCCCAAATTCTGAAGCTTTTTTTTTTTTCATTTATTACAAGCACTGTAAACTCATCATTTATTATAAACCAGTATAACTGGTACTACTCCATAAATTAGATTTACAGTGTAACAAATAATATCCCACTAAACGTTTCTCTCGGTCTTTAAGCTATGCTGAAAATCGCACACTTTTGAAACAAGCCGAAGACTATTTAAAAAAAAATGACTTTAACAACATTTTGACTCCTCTAGGCGGATGAGCGCCAGTTTCGAAAGTTGGAGTTAATCAGCCTTTATAATTTTTCATACCTCAAATAATTTTGCATTTCATGAAAACGAAGATAATAATATATTTTTATTGAATACTTTCGTTAAAGCCTCAATGGGAAAATTTAAAAGATAATGTCCTTGGTGTTTTGTTATGTTGTTTATTAATTAAGTGGCGTAGGAATAGGTGGAAAAGGTCTAGAAATTGACCCAGAACACAAATATGTGGGACTTATAAAACCAAATGAAAATTCTACAACTTTCATTTAAGAAACAACAACATTAATAAAACTAATAAAGCAATGAAGTTTGTTTGTTTTGAATATCGCGCAAAGCTACACGAAGGCTATCTGCGCTAGCCGTCCATAATTTAGCAGTGTAAGACTAGAGAGAAGGCAGCTAGTCATCACCACCCACCGCCAACTCTTGGGCTACTATTTTACCAACGAATAGTGGGATTGACCGTCACCTTATAACGCCCTCACGGCTGAAAGGGCGAGCGTGTTTGGTGTGACGGGGATTCGAACCCGCGACCCTCAGATTGCGAGTCGAGCCCCGTAACCACCTGGCCATGCCGGGCCGAAAGCAATGTAAAGAAAATAATAACTCCATTAGGTTTTTACCTGTACGCTCAATGTATAAGTAATAAGCATGCTTTCATCTCCCTTTTGAAGCCGTTTTTTGGCTAACTGATACTTAGAAATATCGAAGTTTTGAAAAATAGTAAAGTCAAAAAAGTTGAATAATGTGTTTACTGGAATATCACTATATCTGATGACAGCTGAAGTAGAGCGGTCGAGCAGTTGCTTTAATAATAAGTTTTCAAGTTATGAGATGGTTGCCTAATTCATTTAGTACGGGAGTGGTGCAGTAGCTAGCTTTCTCAGGCTGTAAATCCGAGAGTTCATGGTTCGTAACCCGTTGTTCAAAACGCGCTTCGCACTTTGAATTCGTGTGTGCACTATAAGAGTGGCAGTCAAATCTCGTTGTTTGGTAAGACAAGAGAAGTAATGGCAATGGGCACTGTTGACTAGCTGACTTTCTTGTAGGTTGTAATATCAAAATTACTGATGGCTACACGCATGTCGTCATTTGTGTATATTTTTGTGAAAAGTCTAAAGCAAACGAACAAACTAACTGATTTACAAATATGTATTTCCTAATGACCGTGAAAAACAAAAATAAAAAGTTGTAAGATATAATCAGTTTAATACCGGTGCACAGATTTATGATAAATGAAAAATATGATATTCTTCCAAAAATATTCTATACTTACAGTTAAATGTTGCCATTGTGTGCAAAGATACACAATGGTCAAGTTATGTTGTGCCCACTACAAGCATTAAATTCCATGTTTTAGTGTTATAAGCACCTACGTTTTTCGCTGAGCCAATGGAAGGAATATGCTTCCAAAGACAAGTTGCTTTTCAAGAGAAGAGTTGAGAGTTTGCTCAATATTGAACATAAAGATATGAACTCGATACGATAATGTCGTGTAAGAACTTAGAAATAGCCACAATGATGCTACATTTTAAAATTTTCATATAATTTACTGTTTACATTTTATTTGATATATTGCAAAATTAAATGCAAGAGAAGGGGCCAGGAAAAATGAAAATAATTAATGGCGATTGATTACACATGAGCATATAGTGAGAGAGAGAGAGTTAGAGACAATAAAAAACTAAAATAAATAGTAAAAAATAATAAACCGTCAATTGCCATACGTGATCTAACATCAACTCTGTGAGAAATAACGTTTTATATATTTAAGTGTATATTTATAGTAGAGGGCGCCTTCACATGGATCAAAATTTAAATTGAGCTTAGGTGTTGTAAAAGGCGTGTCTCACAACAGTAAAACTAGTGATCAAAGGTGATGTGTATTTAATTGTGTTTGATACCATTTGTTTTTCGGGATTGTTTTCCATAATATTCTTAAATAAATTTAATGTGTGTGTTTAATTGTTAATTTACTAAGGTTTATGCTCATTGTTATGTATTACTATATTAGACTAATTACATTATTAATTATAGATTATTAATATTATATTAATTTCAAGAGTAATAACTGACATAATCCAAATTCCAAGTACTCCGCACTGTCGATTTATCGTGCCACTAAATTATGGAATAAATTGAGCCTCCGAATTTGAGGTGTTCTTTGTAAATTGTAGATATTATTACGTATAACCTTTTTTTTAAATTTTATAAGTTATATTTATAAGCTAAATTTTTAAAATGTATGAATTGGTAAAACATATATTATTTTTAAGGCAAATGAGATTTATGATGTACACTTTCCCACCCCGTATTTCGAAATTATTAATATGACAACTAATTAAAATATTCTTATGCAGTATTGTAGATGGGAAATGATATTTCTTTCTTTCACACAACTCGTCAAAACCTTTAGAATTAAAAATGTACATTAATCATATGTTAGCAGTATTTGCTAAGATTTTGAATTAATTGTAGCAGAAACGTGTTCAATTATAAATGATATTGTTGATTTGAAATTGGATTTTTTTTTTCTTTTCTTCTAGTAGTTAGAACACAGATTGCCTGTGATACTCTACAAGAATGGATTTTGCACCAGTTACTAAACCCATGGCTGAAGAGAAAGTTCTTACCACTCGAACAAAAATGCGTAGTATGTTTTGTACTAAACTGAAAAATTAAATCACAATTTTTTCTCCCCCTTAAATTTCACTAAACATTGTTTTAAAAAAATGGTATTTTTATTTCCAACAATAGATAAAGTATTTATCCAGTACATAGGTTACATTTGGAATATTTATAATGGTGATAATTTACTTTGTTTTTCTTAACTGAGTGATTCATGCATAAAGGAACTAATTATTCGATAATTTAAACTTAATGTTTAATAATCAAACTGTTATTAAACTTTAAAGAAAACTATAGAAATTGCACTTAATTTTCATGGGGTGACATGGGGCCATTTGATCAGTCTAGGCTATGTATTTTCTAATCACCACACTACTATGTAAACTTCTTTTCCTATTTCCAACCCTTCTTTCCAAGATACTCATCCAAACACCTTAAATATTCGAACTTCTACCACATCTGAAGGCAAACTATTCCATAGACCAACTATTCTGTTAGATAAATAACAAAGCTTCATTACAGTTTATCTTGGTTTTTATATATCTTAGACATCTGCCTTCTGGTCTTGCTTTCTGCAAACATTTTGATTTATAGATTCGAAAACTCTTTAAACAAAGCCATGTTTCCTCTCTAAGCCTTTTTCTCTAGCAAACATTTGTTTAGAAATTTCAATATATCTCAATATAATAACCCATCCTGACCTTAAGCATTATATGGAAATTGAATTTGAATTGTACAGACGTACATGGTGCCAACAGGAAGGGGTGAGAAGGGGCATTTGCTCTCTTACATTCACAAAAACTTGCACATATTATGATGTAAACTTAACATTGTAGTTAAACTGAATATTTTCAGTAACTTGTATTAAAATTGTAAATTTGTGTTTGCATTTAAGCACAAATAACACAAATTATTTTAATCTGTTGACTTGCAATGTAAAATTTGATCCCCTACATACATGTTTTACCCCTTCCCAAAAAATATTTTTATGGGTACCCATCTACATGTATCTATTGATGATAAGATGAAAAGAGACTAAAAATAAGTAAAGTATCAGGACCAGAATTTGTTTTCCAAGTGTTTTAAAACATGTCAAAGATCAGATTTGTAAGCTTCATTTCTCTTTGACTTAATGTTGATCAGTAGACAGTGGGCAAGTGCCTGAGAGTTGCTAATGTTATTCCTTTTTTTAAAGTAGATGATAAGTTACCCTCTAGAAATTGTAGACCAGTTAATTAGAGCTGGTAAGTAGGAAAATTTACTAATTGATTAATCATCTGGTTTTTTAACTAATTACATTCAACTAATCGGTTATTCTCTCAAGATGACTAGAAAAAAGTTATAATGCTGCAAATTTGGTTTTGATACCCTGAACAAACTACTTGAATTAATCAAAAATCATAAAGGCAGTATTTCAATTAATCAGTTATTAGAATAATTGAAAACACTAATTTTTATTGATTAGTTGATTATTTTCATGACATTAATAGAGTTAACCGTAATTCTAATTAATTGATTACATGATACTAATTGACGTAATCAAGTTAATTGACCAGTTTTTCGGTTAGTCTTACTTCTGTAGTAGGAAAAATTACAGTGTCTGATAAAAACAGTTTTACAAAACTTTGTGAAATATAATATCATAAAAGAAAATCAATGTGAATTCAGTAAAGGGAATTTTTCTCTTTTTAATATGTTAATTTTTTAGGATGTTATGTTTTCTGAATTATTATAAGGGTGTGTACCATATTTTTTAGTATATAAGATGCACCAGTGTATAAGACACACCATTATTTTGAAGACAAAGTTTTGGGGGAAAAAAAGCTACAGGCACATTTAAAAGATTTTTATTGAACAAAAATTCAATTTCATACTTTAAAAATTAGTATATATTGTTCTAAACACAAATTTTATATTATCTGGTGATAAACGGATAATTGTGGAAGATATACCATTTCCACAATACGTTAGATTACTGATGAGATTACTGAAGAAGAGTTGATATTGTTTGAAAGATCATTGAATATGAAAACGCATGTTAGTTTTAGTGAAGAAGATTCAGCGAATGTGACATTATATCACATGAGAAATCAAGGAACGGCTATCTTATAGTTAGCTAGGGTATTACAGGATGGATTAATTGATAATTATAAAACCTTAACTAGACAATATCATGACGAAATAGGTGAACTATTATTAGAACTACAAGATATTAAGAATAGTGTATCTATATCCGATAGGACTAGGCAAAAACGAGGACTAATAAATGCAGGTGGTAGTATTCTAAAATTTCTATTTGGAACAGCAACCACGGAAGATTTACAAGACCTAAATAAAAAGGTAGAACAACAAAGACAGGTTTCTAAAGAGATGATTCATTTAATAGGAGAACAAGCAACTATAATGAACTCATTGAACCAGACACTTGAACTGCATGACCTAGAAATAAGAAAAGTGTCCAATGCTTTAATAAATATTACGAATGAGTTAATACACACAAAAATATGACAAACGGAGATACATAAAGCAGGAATGGAAATGTTAGTTTTCAACGCTAGAATTCAGAATAACTTATAACAGTTATCTTTTACAGTGGCTAATAGTAGAACAGAATTGGCTAAATTAATACAAGCATTATATGTAGCTGCAGATAAAAAGCTAAGCTCTTACTTCTTACCACCAAGTAAGTTAGAAAGAGTACTCGATGAAATTGAAAGGAGATTACCTCCACATTTACAAGTTATAATACCTACTCATAGTGACCAGATCTATATGTATTACACATGGGCTGACGTAAAGACAGCTGCAGTTAAGGATACTCTACGAATGTTTATAGAGATACCATTGAAAGCGACTGATAGAATGTTTAAATTATATAAGATTGTATCTTTACCGATAGCAATAAACCATTCATTAGCTTTAACTATATAAAATGATAAACCGTATATTGCTGTTTCGAGTGATCAACATACCTATGTTGAAATAACTGAAGAAGACATGTTAAACTGTATAGACGGACCTATCAGAGTGTGTAACCCTAACTCAGGTATGTATTCAACACATATAGTGACTTGTAATTATGTGATATTCACAGGAATTAAGAATAAGATATCAGAACTATGTGAGAAAAGAATAATCATTCCTAAACCATTCTATTTTTATAAAACTAGAACCCCAGGAATTTGGTTACTTAACGTTAAAGACGAACTAACTTTATCAGTAGTTTGCCCAAAACCAAATGTACATCAGTTTGATTATTACACTAGAGTAGTTAAGTTAAACAATAGTGGTTATTTAAAACTAGCCAGAAATTGTTCAGCGTATAGTCAAGGTATAACCTTGCCGTCAAACTTTAGAAGTGAAACTAGATGTATAGGAACTAAGTTAACCATAAAAATACCAGAACTACAAGAGTTACTAACAGAAAAAGAATTACAGTTAATTCAGAGTATAGATATAGAGACAGACACTAAATTATTAAAGGATATATTAGAAAATACTAAACATTTACCCCTTAGAAAGTCGGGGTTAAGTCTTTCAACAGCATGTAGAACAATTACGTACTACAGCTGGTGAACAAAAGTTAGATAAATGGAGATTATCTAACTCGATGATAATAACCTTATGCTTAGTAGTAATACTAGTAAGCATAACATTGTATATCAAAAGAGATAAATTGACTTTATTAAAGTTAATGACATTAGATGGGCTATGTAGAAATAGAAAGAAGAAAAGATTAAGAACAGGCAATAATGAATTGTCTGAATATTCAGAAGCTACTGAAATAGTAGAACTGAATGAGTAGGCTCCATCTAATCAGGCAATAGCTTGATTATTTAGGTGATTACAACATTATATAACCAATTGGCGAGGGTAGTAAATTTCTAACAGCGAAATTAGTCAAAATTATAGGCAAAATTATTAGGCATAGAAAGTTTGAGAAAAGACGAAAATAACAGACAGTGATCAGAAACAAAAACAAACGACGCTTATAACCAGTGAACGAGAATAGACAGTACAACGAAATAAACTGAACGTGAGAACCAGGACTTTTATCAACGAATACCGAGTGTTAAGAGTGTGTTAGCAAAGTGAAGTGTTGTGAATAGAGTAACTGAAGTGACTTAGTGAACAAATGCGAACAAGAAATCGGACGTAGTAACAAAGTGAATGTGTGACTATGGTGAACAAAGGAACAAGTGAATGTGTATGTTATACAGTAACAATCTAGTAACATTGTGCTTAATAAATAATTGTAGGAAACCAGTGCCGCGACAAAAGGCAGCGATCGTAGAGGTAGAAGGGTTTCGAGTGAACGGTTTATATGTTATCAAAGAAATGGCAGTGATGGACTGCAGAACTGGATAGACAAATGTATATTGTTTCTGGCCCCCTTACCCCAAGGATCGTCTTAGCGACGCGGATCGCTGACAAGTTCTCTGGTGTACCCTGTACCTGCATGGACTACGGTGGGAAGACGCAGATCATTCCACATCGAACTTCCTACGGGTGCATCAGGAGATACGGCGGGAGTATACTAAGGTATACACCAAGGGGAGGGAAAAGGCCCAGCAACTACAACGGTACCTGCAGATACCCTGCGTGGATATGGAGGAGTATGGATGTCCCCCTTATCGACGGTTGGAGTGTCGCACCCAGGTGTCATGCATGTATCACCACTACCTGCATGAACACTGCTCCTACTGGAAGGTGTGTGCATTACGCGAGTGGGTGACATGTAGTAGTCAAAGAAGGTAACTTTGTTGGTGAGTATTGTACCAGTTGAAAACAAGGTAGGTGTAATATTCTGTCCGGTTCCAGTCTTCGTGAGCAACAGTATAAGAACCCTAAAGATATATTTACTAAATAACACTATTAGTCACCTATAAAATATTTAACATTTAAACATATAACAATTATGTATATATATATATATATATATATATTATTCTACTTCCTTATTTACAGTTTTTCAAGTAGTCTATCATGTTATTAAACGCATTAATAACACTGGCTTCGTAAGAT